CAATCAGGCAGGTATCGAAATTACTTTTCTGAAAACCAAGTCTAAGTACAAAGTTGTCAAATTTTTTATACCATTGTCTTGGAGCTTGTTTTAAGCCATTTATGGATTTTTTAAGAAGGCAAACTAGGCCAGATTCCTGATTTTTTTTTAAATCTTTTAGATTGTTTCATGTATTTGGTTTCGTCTAGATCACCATTTAAAAAAGCTATTTTTACATCTAATTGATCTAGCTCCTAGTTAAACTGTATGGCTAAGGCCAAAATAACCTTAACAGTAGTAAATTTTACAGCAGGTGAGATGATTTCATTGAAATCTACTCCTTTTTGGGTAAATCTCTTAGCCACTAGTTTAGCTTTGTATCTTATATCATTTTCACTTTGTTCACCTCTTTTAATTTTGAAAATTCATTTACAGTGAACAACCCTTTTTTCTTCTGGTCTTTTTACCAAAACCCAAGTTTTATTCGTTTAAGTGATTGCATTTCATCTTGCATTACTGCAAGCCATGCCTTAGAGTCGTTACTATTTATGGCTTCCTCAAAGGACTCAGACTCATTCTCAATCATACTTTGATAAGTTAGGAAAGATACATCTTCATCAAACCTAATAGGAGGCCTTATTTGTCTTCTTTGCCTATCTCTAGCAAGTTGATAATTGTCTAAAGGCTGACCAATTTTGAATTCAGCTTCAGATTCATCATCAGGAGCACCATCACCAGGTATCTCCTCATTTCTCTCATCAGGTTGTGTAGTATTATGATGATTCATCAGATTGCTCCACCTCAATTTCAGCTCTCTTTTCCACGTTTTCATCTTGACTTAAGGGCTTATTTGATTTTCAGATTTAAGACAAGGCAGATCATTCTCATTAAACACCACATTACTACTAATTATGATCTTATACCCATAGCCTATACCCTTTCACCCCTTCACCATAGCCCAATAATACACATTTAAGGGCACTAGGTTCTAATTTTCCTTCAGATTGGTGTACAAAGGCTACACAACCAAATAACCTCAAGTTACTAAAGTCTTCTGATTTTCCACTCCACATCCTTTCAGGGGTTTTAAAGTGTACAACACTAGAAGGGCTTCTATTAATCAGATAACTAGTAGTTTTAATAGCTTCCCCCCAAAAAATCTTAGGTAGGCCTGAACTTAAGAGCATACGTCTCACCTTTTCAAGAATTGTTTTATTCATTCTTTCGATCAAACCATTTTGTTTTGGGGTGTGCGCTATTGTTCGATGTCTTAATAAACCAAAAGATTTGAACAACTCATCAAATTCAAGATTGCAAAATTTCAAACCGTTATCAGTTCTTAAGACCTTAATATTTTGTCAGTTTGGTTCTCAATCAAAGTTTTCCAATCCTTGAAAACACCAAAAGTATCAGATTTTGATTTTAAAAGAAAGGTCCAATTTTTTCTAGAAAAATCATCAATAATTGACAGAAAATATTTAAAACCAGTATGAGTTGTTACAGAAGCTGGCCCCCAAAGATCAGCATGCAAATATTCAAGTACAGATACTGATTTATGCATTACAGGTAAGAAAGGTAATTTGTTATGTTTTCCAAAAATGCAATAGTCACAAAAACTGAGTTTTCTATGTTATCCTTTCCAAAGTCACCCTGTTTTTTCAAAATCTTTGGCCCTTTGTCATTAATATGGCCCAATCTTTTATGCCATATATGTGACTTATCATTTGGACTGAGATCGCTGCTGATGTGGACTCTAAAAAATTTTCAGTTTGTAAAATGTATAGGCCATGTCTCTTTGGGGCTTCAATAATTACTTGTGAACCCCTTAAGATTTTAATGTATCCCTTGTTAATCAATACGTCATAGTTTAGTTCATCTAGAACCCCTAAGGAAATAAGATTTATTTGTAAATCAAGAACATATCTAGTCTTTTCCAAAACCAATTTATTATTTCCTTTTACTTTTAAATTGATTGTTCCTATTCCTTTAACCTGATATCTCATGTGATTGCCCATTAAAACCTTACCACCAGCTATATTTTCAAACTCGATAAACCATTCTTTGTTTGGACACATATGGTAGGTGCAACCAGAGTCAAGAATCCACTCTTGACAAAGTGGACATTTTACAGCGACATAAACTTCATCAATTAAAGTCTCATTATTATAAGCTAAGGCTGCACCACCATCATCTTTTGATTTATTTTTCAAATCACTAAGTCTTTTGGGATCATTTTTGATAAAATGACCCTCACCAAGACAATAGAAACACTTCTTTCCTTTAGTCTTCAATTTCATTTTATCCTTAAGATTTGCCTTTCTCTTGTGTCCAGGTTTCTTGTAAAAATTCACAGTCTTAGGATTAGACATAGGCTTGTCCATCAAGATCTCCCCATTGATAATTTCTTTCCTATCAGACTTTAACTCTAAATCTTTATTCCTTAAAGCATTAATAATAACATCTGTGGTTAGAGTTTCCCTTCCATATTCAATGTCACTTTTAACATCTTTGTACTTATCACCAATTAAATTTAACAATAACACAGCCAACTGATCTCTTGAGAGTTTCTCATCACAGTCGGCTAGGTCACAGGATAATCTTTAAATCTATCAATATTAGCCTCAAGGTCAAGGGATGGGCCAAGTTTAAAACCAAAGAACTGTTTTAGAAGATACACTTTATTAGGGATAGATTTGTTCAAGTATGTATCTTCCACCTTTTTCCATAACTCAGATATAGTCTTAGTCTCACCAATTTCTCTCAATGCATTGTCAAATAAATGTAGAAAAATTGAACTCCAAGCAGTTTCATCAAGTTCAGTTTTCTTTGTTTCTTCTAAATCATATGGCCATGTTATATCAATTATTTTAACACATTTTTGTTGTAATAAAATTGCCTTCATTTTCTGGTGCTAGAGACTGAAGTCTTCTTTGCCATTAAAAACATCAAATTCAAAATTTTTATTTGTCATTACTTTAGAAAAAATTTGAATGCAGTCACAGTATAAGCAGATCAAGAAGACACTTCACAAAAACTTACAACTTAAAACAAACTCAAGTATCACCACACAGGAGATATTGAATATACAATAATCACAATTTGTAAAGAACTTCAGTTATTTCACAGGATTTGTTCAAAGTCTTACAGTCAAAGAGTGTTTTTCTCAACACAAATCACATTTAAGTAGGAAGAACTGGGATTATACACCAAAAAATATCACAGCAGTATTTCAATATCGAGATCTTTGACTTAAGTCAAGGTAACCCTTAAATTCCAGACAACTCTAGGGTTCCTGGACAAAGGAATTACCCAGCCAGTCGCAGATCAAAGGTTTAAATCACAGTTACAGCACACTTAAAGTGTATATGCAATTAATCCGTAGTATTAATCAAAAAACTAGAACAATCTCACCAAATCCCTTCAATAGGGTTTCAAGAAATAACGAAGGTTAGCAAAAAACGATTGTCACAGTTTCAGATCTACACGAATTAGAGCCAAGAACCTCCGTCCAACTACTATGATACCACTGTAAAGAGGAGGTTCCAAGAAATATTAGAGATCACAACAATAAAATGTGCAATAATACAAAATCGAATGACAAGAAAATTAGATCTAATTAAAAAATTCCCTAAGGCAGTAACAGATCGAAGAATCGCCCAAGAATATAAGTGCTTCTGTCTGCAGAACAAGCCACTGCCAATCTATCTTTAACCAAGCTTAGAAATCTGGGTGTTTTCGCACTCAGACCAAAATCACCCAATATTACAGAAGATTCGATCTTTTTACTTCGCAAAAAAATGTTCACACAAGAACACACACTACTTCTCAGTAAAAGAATCACTCAAGATTTAGAAGAACTCAAACGGCCAGAGTAGAGAGGAGTCTCTAGAAAACCAAAAAAATCATGCGTCTCAACCCTAAGGCTCCCTTTTATATGAGTCACCAAATGATCAACCATCCAATGGACATGGGGTTGACACATGGCATCATCATGGACATCCATTAGAAGAAACACGATTTTGTAAATGAAATTACGTTTTTAACAAACCAGCCAACACTTTAAAATTAACCAGGAAAAGTCAGCTGGTCAACTCACACAATTGCATCATTGTGCCACAACCTTTCAAGGGACAAAACAAATAGCAAATGAAGTTTCCCGATAGAAGGACAAATCATAGGTTCTAACATTGGAATTAAGTTGAAATACATGGAACCCCTTTTAAAGTCATATTAGGAAAAGGATGCTAGTGGAATTGCTGCTAAGGATCATGTTGTCCCGAAGAGTGATTGTTTGAGGTATTTAAGTTCAATGTAATGGGCTAGACTAAATGGAGAAATATACGAGAATTTCATACACAAGGATGGATATAAGGGGACTAGGCTGGGCTGTAGCCGAATCCAGCTCTCAGCCCATTTAATTTTTTAAGTGCAAATTAATTATTTTTATTATTATTTTACATATTAGCTCGACTTGTAGTCTGATCTTCAATCTATCCCTATCCATGCGAGTGTTGGATCATTAAAAAACAACATTTGTAGCATAAAATACAATTTTGCTATTTAGCCCCAATAAGATTGCAACCTCAGTTTAGATGACATTAAATGATAGGTTAAATAAAATGTGAAACCTATTCATTAATGACGTATTAGCGTCATCTAAATTTAGGTTGCAATCCTAATGAGATTAAATAGCATTACTCCAATACAAATAATGCAAATGACAATGATGGGATCAATTCATGACCCCATAATGGATGCTAAAAGCAACGAGAATACATTCCAATAGGTGGAGACAGTGGCGGATCCAAGGGACGGCCGCCCTAGCTGGATCCGTTATATATATATATATATATATATATATTGTTAGTAATACATCAAATTTTTACCTTATATTTCTGGTAATTAATTTTATTTTCAAACATCCCCTGTAGTTTACTTGGTGGGAGTTAACCCTAACATACTTCAAGTCTTATGTTCGAATCCTTGTCAATGGATTTATTATGTATTATTTTTATTCTATAGTTTTTACCAATATTAAATAACTAAGGGACAATGAGGATATGAATGTGTGATCTGGGTTGTGGTAAATTTAATCATTATTATACCTCTTGGATTGTGTTAATAAATTTAACAAAATGATATTTGTTAGGTTTTGATTGTTTTAATGCAAACAATTTTAAATATTCAAATTCACACTCTTCCTTTGAATTATACAAAACTTGGCAACAATGTTATTTAATGAGTTCTATTTATTCTTATAACAGAATCATATATATCCAGTTTGAACAAAATAATTGTTATATTTATACTTTAGACCTTGTTCGATTCCTCCTTTTTTTTTAAACTACATTTATCTTTCTTCTTTTCATCCATACGTTTTTCATTAAAATAATATTACACATAAATTTAAAAATTTTCTTTATTTTTAGTCACACGTTCTCCATTAAGTCACCATTCCAAAATACATTTTTTGCAAAAAAAAAAAAAAAAGGACTTTTAATATTTTATTGCGGCCAACGGTAGATGGTCAACGATCACTCATACTAACTCAAACTCTTAGATTCACCCCTGGGTCGAGATTACACAAGACAAGAATAAATTGAGGGAACGAAAACTTAGGTGATTGGAAATTGCACCAGACAATGAATGACATATTTTTCTCTTCTTAGGTAACACATGACTTTTCATTTCCGACACCACTGCGTTAATTATGAAGTTGATCGATAAACTATGGATAAAAAGTGATATTATTTTTATAATCTATTAGTTTTTCTCGTTCCGTCATCCGAGTTATGTTCTTCATGTAGCATTCAGATCAAATGACTATGAAATTACATTGAAACAATTTGAACTTAGTCAAGATTTAATTTGACAAGTCTAGCCTTTGATGACTAGTTGAGATACGACTTAGCCAAATCAAGAGAATGTAATAACTTCGTTCCATGAATCCAATAAATCAAATCGAGACATTTATGGAATGTATTACACAATATTAAGCTACAAACTTATTATTTAACTGCAACGGGTCATAGGAATACTGCAGTAATCAATTAAATTTTTTAGCTAGAACTTCAATGATCATTCGTAAAATTTATTCATTTTATAGCATTCAATAAGAAACGTTGTGTGTGCAATTAAAGGAAAACTTGGGGCTCTTCTTCGAAATTTTATGATATCAAAGTTTCATTGTGTCAATGTGGCCAATCGTCGACTTTGTAGATGAATTTTACGATTTTTTCTTCCTTTTCAATTACTAAAGTTGAGCTTGTTCATATTGAATACGTAATACTTACCATATTTGCCCAAATATTCTTAAAAATATATTAAAAATCATAATTAATGTAACGATTTTCTCTAGATTAGAATAAACCAGTGGATACACAAGGAGAAATTCGATAGAGCTAGGAAGCAGGGTGGTTGGAGAAGAAGGTTGAGGTTGTTTTTATTTTTTTTTCCTTTTAAATTTATTTTTGTTTCAATTAAACAAAATATTTCAACCAAAAAAAAATGAATTAGAAAGGTCCTAAGGTGCAATGAAATTGAAATAGCGAGACTAAAATGCTCTCTTAGGGAGACAATGAGGACCAAGAGAAAAAAGACAATCACAATACGCTCTCAAGAAAACAGTGTTCTTCGAGATCCAATCTTCCATCAAGAAATCTTCCTTCTCTATTCGTTTCAATCTTTTCCATGGCAAATGCCTGGAGAAGAAATCAACCTATAAAAATCTTGACACCGAAAAATCTTCTCCTCTTTGTCTCCACTTCCCTTCTCCTCCTCGCGTTTTTTTACCTCTCTTCTCAGACCCCTCAAAACCCCATAATATCTGCAAAGCACCTCAAGAAAAATCCCACTTTTAATGGAAATTCAGTTATTGAAAGACCCATAAAGCCGTTTGATTGCTATAACAGTCCTCAAGCACACCCCGTTTTTGCCAACATTGTTGAAGGACTGAAGTACCCTTTTTTGTATTCGCTCGCAGATTTTGGAAATTTGACGGAAAAGCCTCACAAGAACATTGTTAGGACGCTAAAAGGTAAGCCCTTCAGGAGGCCTGATATTTCAGCCACGGTGCAGGAGGTGTTGGAGAAGATGAAAGGAGAGGAGGGCAGAACGGGGATTTTCGTGGATGTTGGGGCTAATGTGGGAATGGCGAGCTTTGCTGCTGCTGTCATGGGTTTCAAAGTGTTGGCATTTGAGCCTGTTTTTGAGAATTTGCAGAGGATTTGTGAAGGGATTTACTTCAATAGAGTGGGGGAATTGATAGAGGTCTTTGAGGCCGCCACATCTGATCACTCGGGGAATATAACATTTCATAAGGTATTTTGATTGCATTCAATCTGATTTTCTTCAGAAAATTTACATTTTAAGTTAGATTCTAGGATATCATCTGTGATTTTGTAAATAGTTCGAAGTTTGAGTGTAGAATAGTGTAGTGTGATCACAGATTATAGGCTAGTCTTATGTTTAAAATTCAATTATATTTGAGGATGAATCTTTTTATCTTTCAATTAACATAAGCATAGGTATTTGATAATTCCAGTAGTAATATTTGTTATTCCGTCGAGTAAGTGTTTAGATAGAGAGCTTCTTCTTTTTTCACATTTTATGAGAGCCTTTAACACTTGTCTAAACAGTAGATAGCTTTCCATAATGGTCATAAAATGCAAATAGGACTGAATCGTATCAATCTCACACCACACCACCTTTAGCAGTCTCTCCACCATCCTAGCACAACTTGAGCGTTTCAACTTGACCAAGGAAGGTTGTTTACAATATTCCCTTAAAAAATAAAAGACCTCCAAATATGGGAGGTCTATTTATATTATGTGATGATTGTATTCCTAAAGTTTTTCCATGTTATTGCATATATTTTATATAAATTGATCGTGGATATGAAGATGTGAATTGCGAGGCTGATTAAATACTGTCATAATAGAAGTTGCTGCATTATCATCATTAATGATGAATGGAAAGAAGAGTTTACTTTCTTTGACCAATCACTCCCTTCCATCTTGTATCTGTGAATTAATGTTTTTTCTTTTGGTTAGCCCGTTAAGTTGATGCATCGTCAGCTTCTCCTTTGTACATATAAAGTTTTGGAGCCTCCCTTTTCAATTTAACAGCATAATAGTAACAAATGCAATGATGGCAACAGCATAACTGTAATGTGTCAAAAATCAAGGTTCACAGATATGTTTCCATTGCAGATGAGTTGGAGGATGGCAAACTAAGGAACTTTTTGGAAGGTTTAAGAATGTGAAAGGGCTCGAGAAAATTTGTAATATCTTGTGTTTGTATATAAAATTCCTTTTAAAATAGTTACTCTGGATCTCCAAATTTATAAGAAAAAACATGTTACATGCTATATTACTGATATTTTTTAATTTGAGAGAAATTTAAAGTATAATTTTATTCATGATAATATGGCTTCATTTCTAGGGGCTCGTTTGATGTAGATATTTTTAGAATATATTTTTTGAAAATTATTTATTTATTTATTTTTGAAGAATGTGTGGTTAAATAGTAGAGAAAAGTTATGGGTCCAGGTGCAAAATTATTTTATTGGGAGAATGTGTGGTTGAAAATTGAGTTTGAAGAAAAATGAATTTTAAAGAATTTGTACCGAACTGAGGCTATAGCCTTTAGAATGGACTGTTTCAGAAGTTTCAATGAAAATATATTGAAATTTTGAGCCCTGAGATAGATTTACATTCTTGTAGAGGCCTTTTTCTTTCCTTGATGTTCTGTCTTAGTTTTTAACTATTTCGGTTCGCATACCGTCTTTTAATTTGATTATCATTTCATGATAACTAAGTCTTCACTATTGATTCTCGGAAGGCATTCTAAAAGCCTAATGAACAAAGTTGTTCGACTGAGTGCAATACATGTTTTTTCATATAAATCCTGCAACTTCATTTGCATGCGTTGGGTAAATAAAGCTCGTTAATTCTGTTAATCTTCAATTACTACATGTATGATTTTTGGCTGTAACTTTAAATCATCTATTGGGTAAAAACGCATACATTAAAATATCAGTAATTTGATGATACTGAACCTTGTGGCCAGTGGGTTCATATATAATTCTCAATTATGGACTTCTGAATAGTTATTTCTGTGTGATAAAAGTTACTGGTGTGCTTCCCCAATAATCAGTTTCACCGACCATGTTCTATCGAGTTCATGGAATCACTGGCAATAAGCTGAAGACCACCTATGATGTTATCACCACTTGAATGTGTGGAGGTTTCATTGGTTTTTTCCTTTTAAAATTGTTTCATCCACAAGATTGCATTCAGAAATTGCTTTTTTCCTTGTGAATAAATAATAAATATAGAAGAGATTATTGCTGCAGAGCTTCAGTGAACATGGGGATAGGCCTATTTCGTAAGGGTTTAATTGGGCTTCTCCTTTCAGATATACCTTTTGGAAAGTTGTTGCATCTTACTATATCAGTTATTAATCATTCTTTCTTCATCTTCCTATTAGGTTATCGATGCAATTATACTCAGTTGCCTCCAAATTGATTATGAAGGTGTTTTTCATCTTGAAAAGTTGATTTGGCTGTCTAGCCTTATTTATTGATGATTTGCACTATTATTTGTGCAATTCATTAATTTTGAACATATCGCATTATTACTGTCTATTCACCCGACGAGCACCATGTTTAACGTGCCACAATCTAGATCCTCTTTTCTTTTCCCTTTCTCTCTTTCATTCTTCTCTTGATATATGATGCTCTAGCTGTATCTTGTAAATTTAATTGTATCATCTTTCTTCGTGATTGACACACTTAAGTTCGACACAGTATGACCTAGTTCTATTATTGCATATTTGGTATTAAGTACAGACATGACTTGACAATATAAGAAATAACAATATTTTATACTCATTTTCTTTCTTAATACCTTCCAATGCGTCCATTTACTTTCCAAGGAACCAATGCTTCTTGTTTGTGATGATGATAAATGAAAAGCTTAGCTGCAATAATTTAATATCTTTTGCTAACATGAGTTTTTTACTGTTCTTGAAATAACTTGAACTTGTTTGGATGTCATTACTAGTTGGTTGGTCGGCTCGACAATAGTGCAGTTTCATCTGTTGGTGCAAAAATGGCTTTTAAGTCAAATGAAGAGATTGCACTTCAAGTCAGATCTATTCCCCTCGACGAAGTGATAAAAGAGTCAGAGCCCGTTCTCTTGCTTAAAATAGACGTTCAAGGCTGGGAGTATCACGTGCTTAAGGGAGCGACGAAGTTGTTGTCAAGAAAGAAAGGTGAAGCCCCTTACTTAATATATGAAGAAGATGAACGCTTATTGCAAGCGAGCAACAGTAGTGCCAAAGAGATCCGGGAATTTCTTCAGAGTGTGGGCTATCATCAATGCACTCAGCATGCTACTGATGCGCACTGCATCAAAACAAATTGACATTTTCGTTCTTTCTGAAATGAAATGACGGAAGAAGAATAATCTTACATATCGCAGTTCTCAGTATGCTGTTGAATGGTCATTATCGATTGAGATTTTTCCTGAACCATGTGGTTTGAATTGCTGGAGGAACTCGTGACGCTGGCTGTTGATGTAAGTTTTTAGTTCAGGTTGAGGACTGTACAGCTGGGGTTTTTGGATTTTGTAGAGGTTTGCGACACAAGGTAGCAGTAATTGCCTTCTTTATTTCTTCCTGATCTTGAAGACCATTGGATCTTTTATCCATTATTGGTGTTTTAACATTAAGGATTTAGACTTTGTTTGGGTGATGCTTTTTTGCTCATTTTTAGAAGAAATATAGCCGTTGCAAAATGAAAGTTGCGAGATAAAAATCAAGAAAAGGGCCAAGTGGGGCCCATAAACACTAACATTTCTTCTAAAAATGAGGTGGAAAATGGCAAACAAACAGGCACTAAGTTATTATGGATATTTTCATTTCATGTATGGAGGTATGCGTTTTATACTCTGTTGATTCTTTTATACTTATATTGTGAGGAAGATTATGGCAATGGAAACTGATATTTTCATGTTATCATTAGAAGTACCTATTTGGCCATGCTTTTGTTTTTACTTTCGCTTTTACTTTTTGTATAAGATCTTTTAGAAAAAAATTATCTTAATTTTTGTTTGAAAACTATTTTTTAAAAGAATTTCCTATTTCGAAAGTATTTTTAGAAGAAGTCATATTGGATCTACTTTCTCTGAAAGTTCTTTTAACTAGAAGAAGTACTTACATAAAATTAATTAAATCAGAAGCAACTTTTGAATTTCAAAATCTCCTTTTGGCTTTTAAAAATCTATTGAAGTTTTTCTCAAAGAGATCAACATAGCATAAATCAACTGCTGAAGTTTTTCTTTCTTCTAGCACTCAAAATTGAGTTCAGTTGAGATGGTTATCGATTCTCCACTTGCGACATATTCTACAAGTGAAAACGTTTAGTCTGCCCTTGGGCCTCAACACCCATAATCTACTAAGGCTCATGTTACCTCATTTAGCATATTTCTTAGTTGAACAAGCTCGCTCTCTTAGGGTGTATTTGGTAGTGATTATAAGAATTGATTTTTTGACTGTTAGAGTGAAAAATGGATTCCACCTGTGAGTGAAGTAGTCAAAAATGACGATTGACTTAGGAAAGTAATGATAAAAAAATTGACTTTTTGGGTAAAAAATCGGAACCAAACAGGGGCTTANAAAAAAAATCCGGGCCTACCTACCTCGACCTGTAAAAGCCCAAGTCGAAAGTTCGGGCCGAGCCGAAATTTTTTGGTCGAGCTCATGCTCGTAAAAAAGTTCGACCATTTTAACCGAGCTGAGTTCGAGCCTAAAATTTTAGGCTTGGGCTCGACTCGTTGACATCTCTAAGTCTGAGCATATTTGAGAATTATTTATAATTGATTTAAAGAGCGTTTGGTAGAGATTAAAATTGGATTTTTTTAGTAGATTGTAATAGAAATTTTTGATATGTGGTTGAAAAGTTGTGAGATGTGATCAATATTATTGATTGTTTGACTTTAAGTTAGATTAACATCATATTTTAATCCAAACCAAACAAGTATTCAAACTATAAATAGATAAAAATAAATAAATAAATAAAAGGTGAAGACTGTTTATAAAAAATTATAAATCGATTTAAATTATAAATAGAGTCAAACACAATCATGGAGATTGCAAGAGTATTTTCAAAAGACCGTTTTAACATAAAATGATCTTTATTATTTAGAGTCAATATTTTAAATCAAGTTTCAATATATTCTATATTATAACATTTTAAAATAGAGAACGTGTTCGATTCTCCATCTCTATTTGTAGTTTATATGTTGAATTTATTTAGTTACAAATTTCTGAGAATAATTCTCTCCTTTTAATTAAATGTTAAAAGATCATTTTGACCCTTTTAAAATTTGATCAAATTAAGGTCACGCGTTTGATATATGGTCAACTAATAGGTTTTTAAATGGATACAATACGTTTTGGTGCACATGTATTAAAGGTATGAGATCAAGTTGTACATTTTTTAAAAGTTTGGGCTATTCAATGCAAATCTCCCTTATTTTAATTAATTAAGCATAAAAAATTATTTTGTCCTTTTAAAAATTGATCAAATTATGGTCGCTTGATCTTCGGTCAAATAATAGATTTTTGGATGGAAACCATCCAAATATCCTACTAGCGCACAAAGTTTAAATGTTCGGGAGCTATTGCTATGATTTAAACTTTTGGGGGTGCTACATACACTATTTTGAAAAGGCTTAGGACCTTATATACAAATTTCTATAAACTAATTATCTTTGGAAAAACTCTTTTGTCATATTTAACTTGAGCATGCGTTGCAATTCTCTTTGGTGGACAAATTGTAGTAAAAAATTCTTCGATTTCACTTTTTATAAAATTGTTATAAACGAATTTGTGATTGTACTTAAAAAAAAGTTAAAACTCTTATAATTTGTTGTTTTGACAAAAAATTGGATGCTTTTTGCATAAATTCATCTGGACTTATCAATATTTCATGAAATAAGTTCATCGTAACAGGGTAATTTAATAATTACAAAATATAAAAATTATTAGGGCTGGATTCTTCGATCTTATAGGTAGCACTATTTTGGGATCCTAATTTCCAAAAGTGAGATTTTGATCTCCAATCAATTGAGTTATGTGAATTTGGATTCCTTAGTGAAGTAATCGACAATATATACGCTAAAATACCATACAAATTAGAGTTAGATGCTAATTGTTTTGACGAATTTTGGTATTTAGCTTTAAGTCATATGAATATCACATATATCTCTGTTTCAGTCGCATTCTTTAAAAAAAAAAAAAATACATTCTTAAACAATAATTTGACATCATTTCAACTATACATTTTTCAATAAAATAATATTACACGCAAATTTAAAAAAAAAATCTCATTTTTAACCATACATTCTACATCAATTCACTATTCCAAAATTCATTTTTTCAAAATAATGTGGCTCAAACACACAAAATTTTAACTTTCACATTTACGATTTCCATCATCATCACGTATATAATTAAATAAGTTGGGGACTCAAAATTCTATTTTGAAGGTTGATGACCCAATACTTTACTAGTAGAAAAGTTTAGGGAGCCCATCCCTAATTTACCAAAATATTAAAATTCTCATTATGTCACGAAGAGAGTAGAATCTCGCCTTATCTCCTTTGTAGCAGAAAAGGCTAACTTCCCTGAAATTCGAGCTCTAATTTTAACTAAAAATGGCGAATCTTATTTGTTCAGTACATCCTATCTCCTTCAAGACCCTCGACAATCCCAGTACTCTCTCTCTCTCTCTCTCTCTCTACACACACACACACACACACACATGCTTACATATTTTTGTGGGTACTTCATACTTGTGCTTTATATGCATTTCTTTGAATTCAGTTAATTTTTGTAACGGGTATATCTTTGTAGGTGGGTGTTTGTGTGTGTACTTGTTCGTAATTGTGGAAATGGGATTGGGGCGGAGGGTACTTGAGCTTCTTGGTTTTACTTTGTGTTCATTTGAAATCATTTTTAATGTGAATTGTTGATTATTTTTACAGGGCTTATTAGTGGAAACTTTGCTAATAGGAAGGTTGAATGGATCAATGATTGCACCACCAGCTCGAGAAAAGCTAATTTTGAAGCTCTAAAGGTTAAGGTGAGCGAACATTCGCACTTAAATGCCTCGCTGTTTAGTCATAAATTGTTGACATAGAGCTTTAATAATAAATTTAAATAAATAAATAAAGCTACTGGCTTTAGCTTTTAGACATAGACGAGATGATGGTTCTGACATATAGAGCATCAAGGGACATCATGTTCACGAGGCTTAAAAGAACTTTGTAATGTAATCCACCGAAGGATCTGAAAACCAAAATATTAATGAAAAAGCATATAATATTTTTGTAGCGAGGAATTGGAATTCTGCAATATGCAATTTAAATTAAGCACAATTCAATGAAATGAGTGATAACTACTAAACCACAGGTAACAATAAACATTTTTCTCAAACATCTGCAACGACTCGATTCATGGATTGAAGAGATCAGCTTGAGACAGATGCCAGAGAGTGTTTTTGTCAAATTTTCTCAATAAACAATGTGCCAAATCTTATTCTAAAAAATTGTAGTTCGTTACACTAATTCGTTTTTATTCAAAGCTACCTATCCTTGTTGTTCTGGTAAAAAATTGAGAAGAAATTCTAATGACGTGGTAGTGAATCAAAACACTTGATGAGCCATCGTTTCATGGCATTTTTAAGCATTAATAGAATAAATTACGAGGGAGAAACAAAGAATTCGAATGGGGATTTGATAAAATATATGATGATTTATTCTTGATCACAATCTGTATCAAAATGAACCTTAGAACTCGAGAATTCAAGTCAATCTGTTTTCATGACTATGATGCCTGATTTTTGTACATTCGGCACTAAAATCATCTGCTTGCAATAAAGTGAGCCCTAGTCAGTGATTTTTAAGAATGTTTTACTGATAGTGTGATCGTATGCTCTAGAATGCGACTGGAAAATTATTGTGTTTGAGGGAGAAGAATGAGAAATGAGAATTTTGTTGTGATTCTCTGATCACGTGAAGAGAAAATAAAAGAGGAAAAAAAATTCTATTTCTATCTGAATAGAATTTACAACGGAGTTTACAAACTCAAAAAAAACCTCTCAAAAGAGTCTCTCTGATCTCTCTTTTTTTCTCTCTTCTCTATCCTATTTTTCTTCCTCTCAAGGGACATCTTAATTCTCTTTACGGTAGCTCTATTTATAGAAAAATCTTGACTACAAACCGTCATAAACTTGTGGCCAAAAACCAATCAAGAATTGCGGCTAGAGAATTTCATTTCAAATTCTCTTCTTGCATATATTTCTTCTCCACTAAGCAATTGAAGTTGTGGCCGTCAAAAGGTAGAGAGTTTTAATTCAAATTTTCTTCTTCATCTAGAGCTTGAACAGATGGATGTCAAAACAGCATTTCTTCATGGTAATTTATATGAAGAAATTTATATGGAGCAGCTAGAAGGTTTTGAAGTTTCAGGGAAAGAAAACTTCGTTTGTACTTCGACATGAAGGACTTAAGCTCAGCTCAACAGATTTTGGGAATGCACATAACTCGAGATAGGAAGAATAGAAGGTTGTGGCTATCCCAAGAGAAGTATGTTGAACGAGTGATCAAGAGATTCAATATGCATAATGCCAAACCTGTCAACACTCCATTGGCCAACCACTTCAAGTTGAGCAAAAGTTCATGCCCCTCATCCAAGAAAGAGATAGAGGAAATGTCATTCATACCTTATTCTTCAGCAGTTGGAAGCCTGATGTATGCCATGATATGTACAAGGCCAGATATTGCCCAGGCAGTAGGCATGGTGAGTCGTTTTCTTTCTAATCCTGGAAAGGAACATTGGGAGGCAGTCAAGTGGATTCTCAGGTACCTCAGAGGTACATCAAAGATATGTCTGTGCTACGGGGGAGCTGATCCAATCTTGGAAGGTTATACAGATTCAGATATGGCGAGAGATCTTGACAGTAGAAAATCTACTTCAGGATTTCTCTACACTTTTGCAGGGGGAGCTGTTTCATGGTAGTCAAGACTACAAAAGTGTGTTGTTTTATTTACAATAGAAGCAGAATATATTGCAGTGACGGAAGCAGGTAAAGAAATGTTGTGGTTAAAGAGATTTCTCCAAGAATTAGGGATCAAGCAGAAAAATTATAAAGTACATTGTGACAGCCAGAGTGCTCTTGACTTGAGTAAGAACTCAATGTATCACTCTCGAACAAAACACATTGACATTCGCTATCACTGGATAAGAGAGGTGATGGATCAACAGCTGTTGAGACTAGTAAAGATTCACACAAATGAGAATCCAGCACATATGTTAACAAAGGTGGTTATAAGGGAGAAGTTAGAGCTATGCAGAGACATAGCTGGGTTAGTTGTCCGATAGCAATTGATTTGAATGCGACTGGAGGGGGAGAATTGATATATTCCAGCCGCATTCAAGATTCTTCCATGTCGAAATTGTTGAAATTTCAATTGCTTAATAAACAAGTAATTCCCACCAACATGCATGCATGAAGGATGAAGAAGAAAATTTGAATTAAAACTCTCTACCTTTTGACGGCCACAACTTCAATTGCTTAGTGGAGAAGAAATCTATGCAAGAAGAGAATTTGAAATGAAATTCTTTAGCCGCAATTCTTGATTGATTTTTGGCCACAAGTTTATGACGGTTTGTAGCCAAGATTTTTCTATAAATAGAGCTACCGTAAAGAGAATTAAGATGTCCCTTGAGAGGAAGAAAAATAGGATAGAGAAGAGAGAAAAAAAGAGAGATTAGAGAGACTCTTTTGAGAGGTTTTTTTTGAATTTGTAAACTCCGTTGTAAATTCTATTCAAGTAGAAATAGAATTGTTTTTCCTCTTTTATTTTCTCTTCACGTGATCGGAGAATCACAACAAGTGGTATCAGAGCTTGGTTCATCAATTAACCCTCATAGTTTTGATAAAGCTTTTGCAAGTCAAGACGTCAATGGAGGAATCTTCATCAGGAGCTATGATCAAACTCACTGCCACCAATTACACACTGTGGAAGCCTCGGATGGAAGACCTCCTTAGTTGTAAGGATTTGTATGACCCCTTGGAAGCCAAAGGTGAAAACCCTGATCCTACCAAACAGGCGAAGTGGAAGAAGCTAAATAGAAAAACTATCGGTCAAATTCGACAATGGGTTGACCATAGTGTTTTTCACCATGTAACACAGGAGACAGATGCATATGCTCTCTGGAAGATTCTGGAGGACATGTACCAAGCCAAGACTGCTCGAAACAAAGCCCTGTTGATGAGGCGTTTGGTGAATCTGAAGTTAAAGAGTGGCATGCAAGAGGTTGCAACGGGAAGAGGTGCAAGGGGCATTGTGGAAACCCGGTCATCGAGGAGATGGTGCCGCAAGTTGGGAGAACTTTGTTGCCCATTGACGTGAAAGACAATGCAAGGTTGCATGAAGATGCATCGAACACGTTTCGCTACGAGGACGTTAGCGGATTGAGTGGGGGAGAATGTCACGGATCGCAAGATCATGACTTAAGGCTTGGCATATGTCACGGATCGCAAGATCATGATTTAAGGCTTGGCATGACACGGGAATGTCATAGCACAAGGTGGGAAAATGAGATAGACTTATGGCAAATAAGGTCTAAGTTTCGGCGGTATATGGCGATGAGGGCGTCGCTAAATTCAGTGGGGAGTAACTTTTGTCAGGCGGTCGCATTCGATCCGTCCCGGTAGTGGTCGCAAGATAGCGCGGGTAATGCGTTTCAGAAGGGCGGAACAGCTTGCGATAGGGAACGCAGACAGATTCGGCAAAGGTCGCAGGTAGACTCGGGCTGGGGACGCAAATAGATTGTTTTGGGGCAGAATGCAGGCTGCCTAGATCGTGCAGCTTTCCAGGGCATTAATGAGGTTTTTCTAAGTTCCGACCCGGCCATTTTGGGAGGTAAAATACATGAACCTGCAGCCGGATATTTTGAGGATGCAAGTGGGCAACTTGCATAATTTGTCCACTTGTGCCACTTGCAAGCTAAGCGCGAGTTGTATGCAAGCTAAACACGAGTTGGCAAGAATAAATATCAACGATGCAAGCTCGGCGCGAGTTGTATGCAAGCTATGCACAAGTTGGCGACAACTTGTAAGGCAAGTTGTAAGACCATCCACTTGAAGACAACTAAGAATGAGTTGGCGACAACTAAGCACGAGGTGGCGACAACTAAGCACAAGTTGTAAAGTGGAATGTTAAGGAGGTTTAAATTTTCCTATAAATAGAGATGTAGTCTCATTTGTAAATGGGATGTAGAAAATGTAGTAGATGTTAGAAAGTGTAGAGAATGTAGAGTTGAGTGAGTTTATTCTTTAGAGAGATTGTAAAGTTTTTCCTTTCATTTATACAAAGAAAGTTTCCCCATCCTTTATACAAAGAAAGTTTCCCCATCCTTACTTGTTTTCCATATATTACTTACTTCAAAAATCTCTTCTCAACGTGGGTATAATTTAGCCTTATTGGTTAAATTATTTGTGGGCGTAGAAAGGCTGACTTAACGTTTTCTTATGAGGTATGAGAATTGTCAAACGTTAAGGCCGCACGGTTCTAATTTGTTCGGGTGTAACGAAACTGGGCCCATGACAAATTTAATGAATTCTAGAGGTTGTTTCTATGGAGAATAAATATCAGGAGGAAAAGGAATAATGAAACTTAGGCAATCACATTTAGGGAAATGCATCACACCAAAAAGAGATAATATAGCACACGTCTAGGAAAGAGCTGAAATCGTACTTTCTTACAAGCTGAAACAAGTTGCAACAGAGCATATTTGAGGAATGACATAGTTTTGGCCGATTAGTCTTAGGCCCAATATTTGAGCTTTTGATTGTCCTTTTACTTGACAAGCTTACCAGAAAACAACCAACAAATGTCAGATCCTTCTGACAGCCCGATACTGCAGTCAAAAGCAATTTACATTTTGCTCTTAGGTCAAAATGCAGAGAATTTTAAAATAGACTGAATATGTAACTGAAACAGCATAAGTCTTAGTAAATCTTTGATAGCTTATTTGAAATACAATATATTTTTAACTTGGCTATAAGTGCCTTTAGTCCTTTTGTAAACTTAAGGCAGCTACTAATATCCGAATCTGGATTATTTGAGACCTCCATTATTGTGCCAAGGTTTTCTGCACTTCTTTTTCATTCCTTGCTCCATGGTTCCCTTGTTTATTGTTTTTTACCGCATCTCGTATTTGAAATTCTGTTTTGCTTTAATCTACAGGCTACAGACAGCAAACCAAGCACCAAAAGAAATAGCATAATTTGTACTGATTGTGAGGGTAATGGTAAGCTGAAGAATCACTGTCTAGTGACTACTTTTATATTCTTAATCGACCCCAGAAGTTTTCCTCTGTCATTAGAATTATGCATCTTCTATTGCCAGGACAATTTTTTTTTTAAGAATGCACTTTCTGTGTATGTTAAATTTATTTATTTATTATTTTATTTTTTGCTGTTACATTATTTGAAGATATCATATTTTTAGTTTTATTAATTTAGGGTTTGTCATGTTAATTTAATATCAAGGGTTTGAAACAATTATATTAACTTCCATTATGGTTGTCTTCAATTAGAATATTAGTCACTGGTCAATTCTTTGACTTGATTGTACTTCATTCATTTTATTTGTCACACCATGTGCATTCATTCATCTATTTTCATGACAATGTATGACATTCACATATTTCCCTCAAGGATTGGTGGATGGGTGGGGAGGGAGATATCCAAAGCATTTAGTTCCATACTTTATTAATTTTGCATTATTGACAACAATGTATATTAAAACTGCAATGGGAGCTCTTTTAAGAATTCTTTATATAGAATATTTGTCCATGCAAGCCTACGAAGTAAACTAGAGATCATTTGAGTAATATTCTTGTCATTTGCACTTTTATAGCTGGATTAGTTTGCTATTCTCTCGTTTTATTGATTCTCCTGTTTTTCCCCTCCTGATACTTTCTTTTGGGCAGAGAACTAATTAGGGCTGGACAAAATTCCCGAACTGAACCGAGCTGTTCTTATTAAATTAAATACTCAAATGGGAATCTAAATCGAAAATCGACGGGTTCATTCTTGGTTCTAGATCAAGAACCGAATAAGAACTAACTCTCCCTAGTTTTTTAATTAATTTATTTTAAATAAGCCAAATTATTTTATTTTTCCAAATAAGTTTGCTAACTAGTGAATTTAGTTCAAACATCCTATTTCTAATTTTCGATTCAAAGCCTACTTAATCAAATTGACCTAAGATTTATCCAAATCTGTCATTCTACCGTAGTGCCGTTTCTACCGTTCTGGAGAAATCAAATTGAAGCTCAACAATACCTCTCTTAATTATTTTGAGCTCGCTATCTTCCTCTTCATGTGATTTTAACAATCAAATCTATGAATAATTCAGTAAAGAGAGAAAAAAAATACATAAGATTGGACTATGTTATTTTGTAATAGCTAAGATTTAACATATCATTAGTTGAATTAATGTAATTTTGTAAATATTAAAAAAATTAATTATAATACGGAACTTGGAAATCGAATGGAATCGAATCCGAACGGTTCCATAATTAAATTTGGACCCAACGATTCCACTTATTAGATACTCGAAAATTTCGGGTCCGGTTCGGTTCTCGTTAGAACCGAACTGAACCGGACCATGTCTAGCCCTTGAACTAATTTTCTTATCAACTCATGCACAGTTTCCATTATTCCTTACTAGGGAATGCTTTTCTTGTTCTAATGATAATTTGCATTTCTAATAATCTTATCATCTCTTGTAAAGTCTGGAAGGAAATGCGTCTTTTTGGTTTTCTTGAGCAAAGCTTTACACAAACATTGTCAATTATTTATGGTTTTAGCTTTCCATTGGTTGGTGGATGAGTAATTCTTAAAACTGAACTCAGGTTGAAGACTAATGTTAATTGACAGATAAACTAATTTACATGCTATTGGCTCTACTTGCCTTGTACCCATGCTAATGCATATGTGACTTTTCTTTTCCTCGATCATCTGATTATTGACTTGGCAATGTTTCTTTTCCTAAAATACGATTATCAGGTGCTGTAGCATGTTCACAGTGCAAAGGTTCTGGAATTAACTCTGTAGATCACTTCAATGGACAGTTCAAAGCTGGAACACTGTGTTGGCTTTGCAGGTACTCTCACCCGTTAAGGGATTTTTTTTTTTTAATGTCTAGCATCTGACATTGTACCCAGCATAACCCTTATATCAGCATATTTTAGAAACGCCATTCTCATCCCAGCTGTCAATTTATAAAAGCTTTAAGCTTTTAACTTTCCAAATTTAAGTTGATAAAATCTCAAAATCAGATCTATAAACTTTGTCTGGCTTTAACGTCCTGCCTTGAGACATCCATATTGGCTCATTGGAAAAATTGAACTCAGAAGATATTCTGGTGTTCTGGAGTAAAAAAAAAATGATAACAAGACGGAAAAATTTATTTTCAGGGCACAAGTATATGAATTTTACAATAACTTGCATTCATATAAGAGAAAATGGGATTACTAAAATCTATCCATTTGTTATCTGGGAATCTGTGATAAAATTGCCCTTGTCTTCCTGATAATGTTCCTCTTAGGTTATTCACTTTATCAAGAAGTTTCTTTTAGAATTTCTGTAAATTTTACATATCAGCAAATCATTTGATTTGCTACTTCATGCATTTGGCTTTGAGCATAGATATTCTGAATCAAGGATGTAAACTTCCCCTCTGTCTCGTCTTTCTTTTTTTTTTCCATTTCCCTTAACAACTTAGTGTAATTTGGTCTGGCACTCTTCTCTTTTCTAATGTATTCTCAGAGTAAGTGAATGTTAGTAGGTCTTCACATAAACAGTAAAGCATCTTGGTTTTAATCAAATTCAGATGTTTAAGAGGCTTACTTGAGCTATTTCTAAATCTATGCCCAGTTGGTTACTTGACTTCATCCAACAGCAACATCAACAACAATAACAAACTAACTCTTATTCTAATAGATTTGGGGTTTACTAGATGACTCCTTTTCAATTCCTCCGTTGGATTCATTGCTATACTTACCTGGAGATCCTGTTGAATCAAAACTTTTACAGTCGCTTAAACCTTCCTGTTCTAAACCTTCCTGTTCTAAAATGTTAATCGATATTAAGTCATTTTGTCAACAAGACATCTTTATGTATACACAAGGCATGCCACATCTACTTGATTGTGTGCTCCTTAACTTATACTCAATCATTGCTCCACTGTTAATGGCCCAACACTCAGTACCATAAAGCACATCTGATTTATTAGCCATTTTGTAGATTTTGGTTTTATATCTATTAATTTCATAGAATATTTATAAAAGCACCCTTTCACCTGATCCCTCTGTAATTCTATAAAATCTTTTAGGTCTTAGTAATGGCGCCTAAATAAAACAAGCCCTCAATGATTCAGAATGATTCTCTCCAGCATTGCTATAATTTGGAAGACGTTCTGTATATTTTATCTTAGTTTTGTTTCCAGAAACGAATCTCCCAATCATTACTATATGCTCAATTGCTCTCTCTTCTAAATCTTATGAGCTTGATACTACCTAATACAATTGAATTTGAATATTGATATATACACTGCGCTCGTGTTCATCTTGCAATTTTTATTTTTTATTATTTATTTATTTATTTTTGCTTAATGACACTTTCATTCTTTGTAGCAATTCTATCTTGACCAATTGCTTTTCTAATCTTTACCTTCTTTGTAGCCTATGACCCAGATTTTCTATTAGAGTTAGCATTTCTATAATTTCACTGTCCATTTAAGCTCTTGGTTTTAATGTTTATTTGCTTACTTGATTTAGATTTATTTCGCCCTTTTCTCTCTGTTAAGATAGCTAATTACCAACTTTCTTCTCTCCTTAGTTACAAGATAACTTACTAGTATGTTTCTGAAAATACATCTGAACCACCCTCCTTGCTTGGTTTTAGCTAAATTATATTTTTCAAAGTCTCCACACTATTTATTCGGATAAATTTCTAGAGCATTTGGTATTAGCTTAAGTTCCATATTAACCTTTTCATTGCAGCACCATTTTCCTCATTAGGTGGCCTAACCCTTTGACTCTCCGAAAACCTCCTTTTCTAAGTTCAAATCTTACTAGCCGCATCATGTTGCAATATCCATCTGTATCGTCGTTTCCTTTGTTCAAAACTCTTGTCCTTGAAATTCGTTTGTCTTTAGCTCTACAAGTTCCAGTCTCTTGTTCTATGATCTTGAAACTCTATAATACTTGGTTGTATAAACACATCAAGCATCACCAATTTATGCCACGCATGCTCTCATCAGTAATTACTTTACAATCTTTACACTATGATCTATATCTCTTTTAGTAAGAATGATCTATTTAACTAGATATGCCTATTTCCTAAAAGTTACATAAGAATCTTTCTGAAGCATATATTTCTAAAAAAAATTATAAGGCAGCCTTCTCAATGTCCAAATAGTATTATTTTTCTTCGTTCCAATCCTCAAAGTCAAAATTTATTTGTATTTCTTTCATATGGGGAAACATTTTTCCACATAACCATCATCTAGCAAAGATTTTATCTTGCTAGGGATTGTATTGTTCAACCTATCCACGTCTTAACAAAACCGTTGCTTTATTTCTTTATTTAATTGTATTCTTGGAGCAAGTACTAAAAGCACTAGTTGACTATTTCTTTTCTTTCCCTTGCCCATGCACCACATTTTATATCCTATTTTCCTAATTCTTTCACCATCTCTCCTTCCCACTTCACTTCTTTTTTGCAAGTTGTAGTAATTTTATGCATAGCCTCTACTAGTTCTAAGGATGTTCTTATAGGTGTCCTTGTATTCCAAATTCCTATTATAATTCTATTATTTTGGACTAACTTGTTAATCCACCCATGTTCAGCAAAACCATTCAATCTTATCCAGCAAAGATTTTATGTTGCTAGGAATTGTATTGTTAAACCTATCCACGTCTTAATAAAACCGTTGCTTTATTTCTTTATTTGATACTCCCCCCGTCCCATAAAGATAGTCTTGTTTACCTTTTTCGTCCTCCCAAATTATAGTCCTATTTTTTATTTGAGAGTGTAGTTATATTAATTTTCTAATAGGCCCGTATTTAATGTGCTTTGTTATTACAAATATAATTTTCAATATTGACTGCATTAATGTAGGGGTATATTAGGAAAAATGACAGTAAAATTTATTGTTTCAACTATAGTAAGTAAAATATTCTTAATCTGTGTGAAAAAAGAAATATGACTATGTTTATGAAATGGAAGGAGTAGTTTATTTGCGTAATGTCACGGGCCTAGTTTCGTTACACCCGAACAAACTAGAACCGTGCGGCCTTAACGTTCTACAATTCCCGCACCTCACGAGAAAACGTTAAGTCAGCCTTTCCACGCCCACAAATAATTTAACCAATGAGGCTAAATTATACCCACGTTGAGAAGAGATTTTTGAAATAAGTAATATATGGAAAACAAGTAAAGATGGGGAAACTTTCTTTGTATAAATGAAAGGAAAAACTTTACAATCTCTCTTGAAAGAATAAACTCACTCCTCTCTTATATTCCCTATACTCTCTAACCTCTACTCCATCTACTACATTTACAAATGAGACTACCTCTCTATTTATAGAAAACTTAAACCTCCTTAACCTTCCACTTTACAACTCGCGCTTGGTTGTCGCCACCTCGTGCTTGGTTGTCGCCAACTCATTCTTAGTTGTCTTCAAGTGGATGGTATTACAACTTGCCTTGCAAGTTGTCGCCAACTCGTGCCTAACTTGCATACAACTCGTGCCTAGCTTGCACCGTTGATATTTATCCTTGCCAACTCGTGCTTAGCTTGCATACAACTCGCGCTTAGTTTGCAAGTGGCACACAAGTGGACAAGTTGTGCAAGTTGCCCACTTGCATCCTCAAAATATCCGGCTGCAGGTTCAAGTATTTTTCCTCCCAAAATGGCTGGGTCGGGACTTAGAAAAACCTCATTAACGCCCTGAAAAATTGCACGATCTAGGCAGCCTGCATTCTGCCACAAAATCATCTATGCATCCCCAGCCCGAATCTACCTGCGACCTTTACCAAATCTGCTTGCGTCCCCTATCGTAAGTTATTCCGTCCTTAAGAAACGCGTTACCCGCGTTATCTTGCGACCGCTACCGGGACGGATCAAATGCGATCGCGTGAGGCATAAGTCACTCCCCCACTGAATTTGGCGACGCACTCATTGCCATATATCGCCGAAGCATAGACCTTATTTTCCATAAGTCTATCTCATTTTCCCACCTTGTGCCATGACATTCCCGTGTCATGCCAAGTTTCCAGTCATGACCTTACGATCAGTGATATTCTACCCCACTTAATTCGCTAACGTCCTCGTAGCGAAACGTGTTCGATGCATCTTCATGCAACCTTGCATTGTCTTTCACGTCAATGGGCAACAAAGTTCTCCCAACTTGCGGCACCATCTCCTCGATGACCGGGTTTCCACAGTGCCCCTTGCACCTCTTCCCGTTGCAACCTCTTGCATGCCACCTTCGACACCAACCTTCACCCT